ACTGAAGCAAGTACAAACCTGAAAAGGTGTGCAACCTTTTGATACAATTAAATAGTGTAAATAGATTGCACATTATTTTTGAGGAAATACTGTGCAGTCACACGTCCTTCCTCACATGGCGGATTGTGATTGATTCCCGTTAGGCACTGCTGCAGAATTTTTTCAACTGTTCCCAGCATATTTATAAGGTATAACGGAGACAAAGTTTTAATAGTGAAATCTGACAGTTGAAAAGACAATTATGAAATAAGAAAACTAATCAAGGTTACTTTTTGAATTCTACCTCACATTGACGCAGCTGTACGTGCCTGTCATGTCATCTTATTCGTAAAGTCACTGCTGTGTAACAGAGCAGTGATGCTACAGAAGGACTAACTGTTTCTGTCCCAGTGAGATCACTGCAGGACACCGGAGCAGGAAAGAACTGCTTGTGGGACAATGTAAAGGCTTTTTCTGTCAATGTGATAGAACGGTGATCCTTTCAATCATTGTACATAAACGAGGCTGTCCTCCACAGCTGCCAGGTGGCAAGAGATAATTCTCAAATGGTGGAGGATTTACCTTTGTTCAGACATCCGACTCTCAGAGTTTCATCCTTATAGCTGTTAGAACTCCTTTCTAGTGTTTTTCTAGGTGAGATTCAGAAGACGTTGGTTGAGATTTTCTGTCAGTATTTTAAATGAAGGGAGTCCTGTAAAGCACTGAGGGCTCTGTTAACCTGAAGAACAGGGTGACAACTCGCTGACTTCAGGCAGCTCAAAACCTCCTGTACATAACATCTGCTGTTGGTTCCTACTGAACGAGTAGGAGGAGAAGAATACCACAGATCTCTCAGGATTTTCTGCATCTGTCCTAAGGGCCTGTTGCCTGCTAAAGGATACGTGTGTTTTTTTAGAAATTATAGTGCTTAAAATATGGGTCTGAAAGGAGTCTGTTGTCTAGAGCTTGAATTTTTCCTTTTACCAAAGTGTAGCTTCTGCCTTTTATTGTCACTGGAAGTAATAAAAAGCACCAAGAAGCTGACAAATTAGCCTTGGTTAACATCCAAAAAGTGATCAGGGAAGTCCTGGGTTATGCTACGTGTGTAGTGTGAACAGGTAAAATGCAGTAGATGTTAATACTAAGAACTGCATTGGTATGAAGCAGAGTTATATGAGGAGAGATGCTCCATAAAAACCCATAGAAACTTATATTTCCATCATGGCTCTCAGGTTTTTCCCAAAAATGTGAAAAACCTCTTCATGTCAAAACAGATTTTTGATGTCATCAATGGGATTTTTTAAACTTTCTGCACTAAAGAGAATGGCAGATTCACCCGGCAAGGACATTTTTAATGTCAAAGGATGCAGTATATCCGTGTTCAAAGAGCATCTTGTGATGACTTTCGTTCCTCTTTCTGTGTGTTTAATTGATAAAGAGGGATGCTAAAAATGATTCTTGATTTCTCAATTTTTGCGTTTGCTCTGGTCGGTTACAGTACTTGGCTGCAGTAACAATAAGGGTTGGGCTGTGCAAAGGCTATCAGACTGATTTTTGATTAAATCTGTAAAAATCTGCTTGCCCTGGTAGTACTGTTTGTGTCTATTTTGGAGATGTTTAATAAACTTTTTCCCCCAGATCTTGTTTTTATCATTTCCCACTGTATTTCACCAAAAGAAATGACTCAGCTCAATACACACTCCCACACACCCACAGGTTTTCACCTGCACTCGTGCGTAATACTTTTCAATCTTTCTTTTATTCTAGCGGCTGACGGCCCAGGCGACCGCTTCATCATTGGAGAGTCCCAAGCTGGAGAGCAGGTTTGTGTCCACGCTGACACCTCTGCAAGCACACAAAGACACCCTAACTCACACAGTCGGTCTCACACAAACACCCACACAAGCTGGATATGAAAATAAAGTACTTCACTTTTGCCCTTCACCTTATGCCTTGACCAGCCTGTAATTGCACATCAGTGTGTTCCCTTAGCAGGTGATGAAAAGCCCTTCGCACCAAAGCATGGCCAGAAAGTCAAAGTGTAAACACATGAGATCACTGAGACAAAAGTAAGCCTGACAGATTTTCGACAACCCCTCACATCTCCTCTCCAACAGCATCACCACACATTCAAGCATCTGTTTCCTGTTTGCCTTTATACGCTCTTAAAATTTCAATTATGATGTACATAAAGTCAGTTTTCTGTTTTATTGTATAGATTACTTCAGTCACAAACAGTCCGTCATTTATTTCATAACACCTATGGGTTAAATGTTAACCCAGTGTTTGAAATTTGACATGATACTGTTTGTCCTTTACGGTATCTTTGACTTATGTTTACCTTTCTGTGTTTGCACAGCCCACCCAGACAGTGATGCCTGGCCAAGTGATGAGGGTGACGACGGGTGCCCCTATACCCTGTGGGGCAGACGCTGTAGTCCAGGTGGAAGATACCGAGCTCCTCCGCGAATCAGAAGACGTGAGTGTGAAGTTTCATGCTAAATGAAGGACAGTCAGAATCCGAACGCTAAAAGGCCTTAGTATGCTCATTTCCAGCTTCATATTTTGAATCTAAAACTACTCAGTTTTCCATGATTCATAGTTTTAAAAAGTAATTATTATTATTATATACTGGCCTTTGATGCAGTGTCTGGGTTCATCTACTGTCTGAACAAGATTGTTAAGCGCATGTTAAGGCCTGAGGCCTGCTTTCTTTTAATTGGTTGCCCCTCACCTGGCTATTGCAAGCAATGCCCACTACATGTAAGCACCAATTCCACACCACAGACACAGCTAAGGGCACACCTGGCCATAAAAGGAAATCCATCCCAAGCTTAATCAAGAGAAGAAAAACAACAAGAAAAACATTAGAAGCTAAACATCCATGGCTCAAGCCCAAGCTTTTGTCTCACTTCCTTTTTAACATGCCAGTATCTTTATTAAAAACTTCAGCTATGTTTATTATAACCATCCTATAAGGTTGTCTTTAACCCAAACCTGTGAAAGGTTTCATTTAATTCAGTTCAGTTTTATTCATATAGTGCCAAATTACAACAGCAGTAACCTCAAATCGCTTTATGTTGTAAGGTAAAGACAAGAAAACCCTAACGATCAGCTGACCCCCATGACCAAGCACTTGGCGACAGTCGGAAGGAAAAACTCAATTTTAACAGGAAGAAAGCTCCAGGAGAACTGTGCTCAGGCAGTCTGGTTCAGGCAGTGATCAGTTGGGATTCTCTCTGTGTACTGCAACTGCTTCCCAAATTCCAAATACATGAATGCTAGGTTAATTGTCTATGTGTTGGAGCTGCAAGAGACTGGTGACATGTCCACTATGTGCCCGTCACCCTGTGACATCTGGGATGGGCTCCAGTCATGGACAATTTCAAGCTCTCAAATTTGGGGGATAGCAGTTTGGGGATAGCCCCTTCCTGTTTCAACATGACTGCAGACCAAAGCAGTTCATAAAGACAGTAAACAAATTTGGTATGGAAGAACTTTACTGGCCAGCACAGAGTAATGACCTCAACCCGACAGACCACCTTTGGGATCAATTAGAGCGGAGACTGTGAGCCAGGCCTTCTCATCTAACACTGTCTGACCTCACAAATGTGCATCTAGGAGGAATGGTCAAAAATTCCCATAAACAAACCTATGAAAAGCCCTCCCAGAAGAATTCAAACTTCTCATAGCTGCAAACAGTGGATCAGCATAATATTAAACCTTATGGATTAGGAATGGGATGCCACTCAAGTTCATATGTGTGTGAAAGGAAACAAGTGACTACTTTTGGCAATATAGTGTCTTTTATCCTAGAAATGGACAGAATACTGAAAGCATCATTTTCTTATCTGTCACTGACCCAGCCTGATGTGATAAATGTTTTTCCGGTAGGGGACGGAGGAGCTGGAGGTACGAATCCTAGTACAAGCTCGCCCAGGGCAGGACATCAGGTTAGTCCATGACTGAGATGTTTGTTATGTATTATACTTATTAAATACTGTAAGGCTGGAAGACACTGTTGGGAGTTAACTTGAAAAAAATTAATGCAAGGTATAGTGCACCACTACTACTGCCTTTATTATAATTCTGTCTGTCTGCATGTTTTTGATTATTATTGTTCTTTGTTTAACATTATAATAATGATGAAGACTGAAGGAAAACAGATGCTTAGAACACATTTCATGTCTTTACCAGAACATCTATGGTGAATGTAGCAGTACCCTTTTTCTTGCAGGCTTTAAATGTTTAGTGCTCATCTCTTCATAGGCCTATCGGTCATGACATCAAGCGTGGCGAGTGCGTGCTGGCCAAAGGCACCCATATGGGCCCATCTGAAATTGGCCTCCTGGCCACTGTTGGAGTTACAGAGGTGGAGGTCCAAAAATTCCCTGTGGTGGCCGTCATGTCCACAGGAAATGAGGTAAAGGTTAAGTGAATCTTATTTTTTGTTGTGGTGAATTATGCCTCTCGACTTGGCTGCGAAAGGTACAACAGTATTCCTAACAACACACCTCGATCATATTTATGCACAATTACCATTGTTTGCTTTGGCTGGCGACAACAGAACATCATTTAGAAGTGAATGTGCAGTCAGCTGTTTCACATGTGCTTTCAGTTGTGAAGAACGTGTTTATCTGTGACCAGGTGGTTTCGTTTAAACAGCAGAGTCCGATTTGGGCATTTTCTGTGTGACTAATGCGCAGTTTAAATTTCATGGGGTGCATGAATATGCATAGCTCTCCATTTTCAGGGCCGTGCAGACCCATATTTAAACTTTATCATCTGTTTGTTAGCATATTTCACTCATCTGCCGCCTTATGAAGTAGAGGATTAGATGCGGCTACATTTTATTCATGAGCACTTATTTTGGTAGCAGTGGACAAAAAAGAAAATCCATGATATCCTTTTAGCATGTTGTGATTCAAAGATTTTAAGATACAACTAGACTTCTGTACCTCTTCAGTGTTCCAGTTTCAGATATTACAAAACCTAATCCATGACGGCAGACTTTGGTTAATTGTAGCTCTTTTCCAACCTGATCAGGTGATGTGCTATAAAGAGTGTCACGGTCCCACATGGAAGTAAGATGTGGTGGCACCGTCAGTTAAGCGTAGCGCTTTTAGAACATGAAGCTGAAAGACTGCATGAACCACATGCATATGCCTGTGCTCATCTCATGGGAAGGACTAAGAAAAGGCAATGGAAAAGCAATGACTCTAAGATATTGGCTGATATTAGCTTTTTCTGATATATCAGTGTCTGCATTGATAACAGCCAATAAATGAGCATTTAAAAAGTAATGAATATGATGAAAGACCAGGTTGACAACATGGTGACAGGTGGGTTTGTAATACAAGAAGAAGAGTCAGGCGGATCGTAAAAATAATTGTGCAATTAAAATGTTTATTTTTAGTATTTTCATATTATTTTTGTAAAGACTCTTATATAATTACACACAGTAAATGTTAAGGAAATCTGTCTGTTGCAACATTGTGTATTTCAGACTTTTAAATGTGTCAGTCATGTTCTACTGTTTAGTCTTAAAATGTGACAAAATGGTGACAAGAGCACCTCACAAGTTCCCAGAGGCCAAGCTGACATCTTTAAAGTGCATTGGTTTAGATGACACTAACTTTAGCACGAACAACAGATGGGTGTTGTTAATTTGAAAGTTCAGAAAGTGGTTTTTTTCTCAGTTTTAAAGTATTATTTTATGCAGCATTTTTAACTCAAGGGTAATAGAACCAAAGCAGATTTATTCAGTACAGAGAGCATGTTAAATATAGTAACTACATGACTGGGTACAAAAAGAAAAAGTTTGCATAAAGATTATAATATTGTCTCATCTTCCAGCAGAATAATTATTTCTTTACTTACCAGACCTTATTGCAAATCAAAAAGATGCAGAAACGATTTATTTAATGATTTTCACAACTAATAATAAAAGACTGCCATCAAATAGGAGTTTCTAACATGTGATTTGTTTGGGCGATAGCTTCTGAACCCAGAAGATGACCTCCATCCTGGAAAGATCAGGGACAGCAATCGCTCCACCCTGTTGGCCACAATTCAGGAACATGGCTACCCCACTATCAATCTGGGCATCGTGGGAGACAAGTATGCCGTCAGATCTTGCCTCTGCCACAGTTCCCTTTAGCTATGCTTTTGTCCTTTTAATAAGCCCTGTGTACTTATCCAAAGATAGGCCAGTTTTCTCATTTTCTGTGATTTCTCTGTCCTGGGTGTCGCGGGGGGGTTGACACTTGTATGTATATGTTTGTCTGTGCCCTGCAGCCCCGATGACCTTCTCAACGCTCTGAATGAAGGCATCAGCCGTGCTGATGTCATCATCACCTCAGGAGGAGTGTCTATGGGAGAGAAGGTACAGTGGCAGAAAGTCCAGTGGTAGAGTTGTGTTGTACTGACACCATGTGGTAGCTGATAGCCAGACAGCTGAGCTTCACAGTTCGTTTGAGTTCATTATTTTATGAAACACATTTTTTGGAGTACTTATTCTTCATGTCTGTTGAGTATTCTTAAGGATTTTAATTTTCTTTCTTTCTAACATCATTTTTAGGACTACCTTAAGCAGGTGCTGGATATCGATCTTCATGCTCAGATCCATTTTGGTCGTGTGTTCATGAAACCAGGGTAAGAAAAAGAATCTGCTTCAAAAGTGCTTCACAAACAATACATACAAATGACATGCAGAAGGAGTCATGTGGTGTAAAATGACAGCCAGTGAAGAATTTAGAAATTATGTTTGTTTTTGTCTTTTTTTCCAGTCTCCCAACAACATTTGCCACGTTGGACATAGACGGTGCTCGCAAACTAATCTTTGCCCTCCCAGGTAGTGTGTGAAGTTGAGAGAAAGAGTGATTCACTCCGCTGTTTGCGCAGAGATGTTACTCACATATTTCCCCCCCCCCCCTTGCTTTCTCTCCTCGCCCTCCTCTCTCTGTCCCCCCGTCTGTCCTAGGAAATCCCGTGTCTGCTGTTGTCACCTGTAATCTTTTTGTCATCCCTGCCTTGAGAAAGATGCAGGGTATTTTGGACCCCAGGCCCACCATCATCAAAGCGAGGGTAGGACACACAGGGCAACCGGGACATCCTGACTTCATCGCGTTCCCAAGTGCAAAAAGTGTCCTTTGCTCCTGTGAGGGATGATTCAAAGTCGCTGTTGTAACAAATAGGCTTTAAGAGTGTCGATGCAATCAGCTGCAACAGAGAGAATATATAATATATGGGGACATTTACAGTTATGTTTATACGTAAAAAAACAGGGTGTATTATTGCAGCCCATTGCAGCCATGATTTGATATAATTTTCATCATCTGCTTGATACATATTTATGACCACAGTGTTTTGCTCTGATTTGGCAGAGGAACCAATCACGGCCCACACTGACCTGAAGGCCTGCTCCCCGGTCATGAATATTCATAACTGTAGAGTGAGAAAATCATATCACGATAATACTCAGTGAGCACACACAGCCTATGTCCCCAACTACCATCATGGAGTGAGCAATCTGGTCCCCTGCCATTATGGGTGCTATTCAGGGTGCAGTGTTACATCATTTGCTGTTATAAAGCAGTTAGAAATCAACTTGAACACATTACTGCCACTTAGGGGTGCAAATGATGGCCTTCGCCAGATGTATCCAGACAATTTCCTAGAGCAGATGGCATCAGACACAGGTCAGATAATACTCTGAGAAAAGGTTTCCTTTTGCCAGCAAACTTAGATAATCTTTGAACTAATGTATTTGCCTTGTTTTAAATGTGTTTGGCAGAATTTTACCCAACTTGCTTAAGTTTTGTGACAGTTCAGATCTCGATTTTTGCCATTAGAAGATTTGTGTGTGTACATGTGTGTGTTTAGCCTATAGACTGTATTTAAAAGATGGCTGTGGCTCTGAAGATGACTGCACTCTGTTTTTTAGAAGAGGCCATATTTGGACGAGCCTGGTTTTTTCACTTCTGCTAGGCTTTAAATTATAGCCCTGTTGGAATTCACTTGGTATAGCTAGGCCATCTATTGTGTGGCATTTAAGAGCGAGGAAGATTGTTTATTATTCAACTTCTGGGACTTGGTTGGAAATTAAAAGACATGCTAAATAAACATGAAGTGTGACTCAGTCCAAAAGCTTGTCCAGACCAGAGGGCACAGGAAAGTCGGAAATAAAGTCATGCATGTTTTGAATTGTGGCTTTCATCAGCATCTTTAGCATTTCGTAATCAGTGTACGTGAACATCTGAACTCAAGCAAGACTCCTGTTGTGACTTTTGTCTTTGTGGTTCCAGGTAACAGTAACATGAGAGCCAGATGGATTCCAAGAAATTGTCTGAAAGCAAATGTTGCATTTTTTTCTCCACTACATTGGGTGTATCCTATTCAATTTCATACTTCAAGCACAGTGGTGATTAAAAAAGGGTGATGCAGCATTAGAATTTATGTTGTGTGTTTCTTCACTCTAGTTGTCTTGTGATGTGAAGCTGGACCCTCGCCCTGAATACCACCGCTGCATTTTGACATGGCATCACCAGGAGCCTCTGCCGTGGGCACAGAGCACAGGTACAAAACCGGCATCTGTGGGGGGAAAATAACATTTGAGCACAATGATAAAATAACACTCATAGGTGTGGTTAGCTTTATAGTGATTTACAAAAATTGTGTTGTTTTTTTAAACATAAGTGCAATCATTTAAGAGCACCTTAAATTATCAGGACTGACAAGACTGGCAGTTTCTTAGACGAGTTTGAAGATCAGCATTTCGATTCCCAATCATGTAAACATGTGATCATTTTGGCCGTTTGGTATTTGTCAGAGTGGAAATAATAAAGAGACTTATCAGTGTTCAAAATCTCTATATGGAACACGGAGCAGAAGTAGACATGATTCCATACTAGGCTCGCCTCAGGGTTTCTTTGATTTAATGCAGGTGAAACTACTTCAAATACATCGTTCCTGTAGTTTTTGAATACTAGCCAGTTTGGCAGTGGAAAAAATAAAAACTGCTCTTTTTAACAGCAATTTTTTTCCCTCATCATCTTTTCTGATGCAGGGAACCAGGTGAACAGCAGACTGATGAGCATGCGCAGTGCTAACGGGCTCCTGATGCTACCTCCGAAAACAGAGCAATACGTGGAGCTGCACAAGGGCGAGGTGGTCGACGTCATGGTCATCGGCCGGCTATGATGTCATAATGGAGGGACGGAGAAACGGCGTCACATAGCGAGGGAATGGGTGGTTCACGGTGCATGTCCACATATCATTGACTATTCTGTAATATGCAACGGCACAGCTAGTTTTTATTGATTTGGATAACGTTGAGGTATAGTCAACATCTTGATCACAACCTAGATACATATGAAAAAACTAATTTAAAAAGATTATAGTATTTCAAACAAAGAAAATATAACTTTTAATGAAAAAAATCTAATTATAAAAAGAGATTTATTCTGTAATATATTATTATGATTATTCTTATTATTATTATCATTATTCTTATTATTATCATTATTATATTAAGGCAACTTTGTTCCTTTCATTGCAATTGCTTTGTGTGTTCAATGCTAGACCTTATCTATAGCAGTAGCATTTTAATAGACAGCTGTAGGTGCCTGCCAGGACAAAAAAAGAAAAAAAAAGAAAATTATTATTTTCTCATCTTTAGTGGAAAAAAAAATACTCTGTTTTATGAAAATAAAGAAAACACCGAGGAAGGCTCCAGATTCCCCACGGTGCTCAGCTAAGAGGAAGAGGGGGGGCACATAAAGGCCACTTCCTCTTTGGAGTGCCCATCAAGGTGACACTTCTGTTTTTCTCTCATTAGTATGCATCATAATGGCTTCACAAAGAGCTTTGCTTGTTGTTTATCTTGTGAGTCTTGTTTATGTGCGCAGTGCCAAATGCCTGGGCAAGGAAGAGGCGGTGTCGGGGAGGGTGGGGAGGGGGGGGGCACACCCCAGTCGGCCCAGGACCCTAAAGCTTCCTTATATTCATGGTGACCGGGTGTAAACTCCGTCCCAAACCCCACCACGGGCGAGCTGAACCTGGGAAAAATAATCTTTTATTTGATCAACTATTTAAGAAAAAAAAAATGAAAGAAAAGAAACAGCTTCTTTAAGTGCTGACAGCCTTTTTAACCAACTTCACAAAAAATGTACAGAAAAAAATAAGAATCATATTGTACAGATATATGTGACCAGCACTCCTAAGGAAATTATTAAGCAATGAGGAGACATTGAACAACGCTGTACTATAACATTTTCTGTAATGAAATGAAACTGATGAAAGAGACTACGATAATAAAAATCCTTGATCATTATGTAAAAAAAAAAAACAAGTTCTTGTTGGGTTTCCTTTTTTTTTTTTTAAATAAAATATATCTAATGAAAAAGCAGTGAATTTCTTCCTTGGGGCTAAAAGTAGCGTGAAGGTTAGAGGAGTGTATGAATGAATCAAGAGTTTACCAGCCTTAACAATCACTGATCATAACAAGAGGGACTCAGTGAATACCGTTATTAAATGTGGATTTGACTAAATCACAATTTCTGTTTAAAGATTAAAAAGTGGTGGTTCATTTTTTTGGTTTGTGACTTTTAACTTTAAAAAAACACACAATTTTAGGGTCCAAAGATTTTCAGCTTTCCACTATTTTGCAGTTTTTCTATCCCTTTATTTTTCTCATCCTCCTTAGGAGTAGCATGTAAAGTTGTTAAAACTAGGGTCTGTTTTTTAATACTGAACTAATGTAGTTTTATTTATATGAGTTTGAATGGACATTGCTGTGCAAAATGTTTGAGTCATTGCTCATTTCTTAAGATTTTACTTCCAAGGAGCCAGACTTCTTGTAGTGGTCTTGAGCAATAGTTCTTCAGGCTTTCTGAGGGGATTTCAAAGTCTTTCTTCAGACACTGGCTGATTTTTCCTTCTTTAAGCTACTTAACTCTGACCTGTAAATCATTCAACAATAGAGATGAACCAGTGTTGTGGCTACACTTATCAGAAAACTTATCAAGGAACCAATTTTAAATTGTATCTTTAGGCACGTCGTTACTAGCAGCCTGTCACGAGAAAAGATTTATTTATTCCCATTTCTTTACTTGAATCTACAAAAAAATGACATAAAGAAGAGGAAAAAATCTAACACATAACCTGAGAGAAGCATGTAGACCTTCAGTGTATCCATCTGCTGTTCACTGTCCATCTTGTCTTGAGGTCTTGTTTGATGCATAACTGGATAGTCAGTCATGGCTTGGTTTACCCAAAGCCCAGACCTCAAAATTATTGAAGCAGTGTGGGATTATCTCAACAGAGAAAAGAACAAAAGGCACTGAAATTCCAAAAGAGAGGTTTGAATGTCCTTCAAGAAGCCTGAAAAACTATTCCTGAAGACTACTTAAAGAAATTATAAGAGAGCTTGCTGATCTGAGTGGATACTAATGGAAAAGGGGCTTAAGAGAGGCTATGATGAGAAATAAAAGTGATCACACCAAATATTAATTTTCAAGCTCATTAGAATTATACCAACTTGGTTTTGCCTCATATACTGCCATGTATGTTTGTGCATGTTTCAATAAATCACTGCATCTGTTTCCCATTTTCTTAGCATATATAGAAAAAATTGAGATGGCTTTGGTTTTTTTCACAGTTTAACGGTTTTTACACTGTTAATTTTTTTTATTTATTTTTGTGGTTACTTTTTTAGTACTTCTTTTACTCACTGCTCCTTAGATAAACATGAAAAAATCAGTTGCATTGGAAGAGCCTAGGAGGTTTTAACTGTCTATCTTTCTAGGGAAGCTAAGTATTTAAGAATTGGGAACTGGCAGAAGGGAGCCTAACGAGGAAAAGAGGTTAAGCACAAAAGTGTCAGAAAGGATTAACCAAATAGAAAGTACGGCTAGAAAAGGCAGCTCCTGGCTTCAGTGGAGATATTTCTTAGGCAGCTTGAGATTAGACAGTTTCTCTTCTTCTCAGCAAGGTAAAATGACAGTAGATCCAATTAGCTTGCAATGAATAATAGTACTGTGACAAGAACTTAGTTAAAGTCATCAATGTGGATGTGTGTAAAATGTGTTGAATGTAAGAGGATAAGAGTGAAGATGACGGCAGGAATAATGGCGCTTTCTTCATGTGCAATGACTGTGTTTATTCATTAGAAGATATACATAAGTGTCTAGTTTTTGTAAATACATTCAACTAAATTAGGCCGTTTAGATTAAAAAAGACAAATGAAAGGACTCATCAAAGCCTCTCTGAAGATACTAAGTTGTTGTTTGAACCATTTGAAAAAGCTTATAGAAAGTAATATTATTATTAGGAGGAGAATAAGGCAGTCCTCCAAGTGTGATGCAGCTTCCTCTGTGATCTTCAGTCACGCACATCCTGGTTTTCTTCTTCCATAGCATTGCAATACTTGCAGCAAATTCCTACAGGACTGTGTCTAGACTACAGCGACCAAGACTTATTTTTATCATCAGCACATATGTCAACATTATTTTAAGAAATTCTTAAACAGAGCCATTTCCACCTACTTTTTAAACCTTTATATTATGTTTCAACTTCTAATCATGGCCATCACCTGGAAATAATTCTGTGTTGTGCATAATTTTATACACGCTTCCTTAAAATTCACTGTGATATTTTGTGATCGGTGGATGTGCTGTCATTAATTCCGTTTTATACTGCTTTATACTTTGGAGGTATATTATGCCACTTTTACTTCACTAAAAATAAAGACAGGTTAATTTACAGTTAGCTTAGACTTTTAGAGCACATTTTCAAGAAATGTAGTCACAAAATAAATTATATAGCGCTTAGAACTAACTTGACTTTTACAGGCTGCGGCATTAAATTAACGCTCACACGCTAGTCTGCGAAGAATCATAACAATGTCATTCTGAAACTGATCACTTGGCCTTTAATTTTAGCGCTTTATAAATGATGTTTCATATGTAGGGGAGACCGGGGATAGTTGTAACATTTTTGACATTTCTGTCTGTAAATTGGAGCTCTTTTAAGGTAGTGGATTCAAAATGTAATGCAAAGTATTTACATGTCTCGGCTATTAAATAGTGCAGCTATTTTCTCTGCAGCACAATTACCCATTGCATGATATGGCCTCAAACACAAACACAAAGAGTGAAATGTTACAATTAACCCCATAGTCTGGGTTAGTTGTAACATATCCTGGGGTGAAATGTAACACAATGAAAAAGGGTTCTAACAAAACATTAACATGTAATCTTTGTTTATTCAACACATGAATGCACTTAGAGCCATTTATGTAGCTATGTGTGTGTGTGACAGAATGCAGAAATCTAGCTTTTGAACATATTCCAATCCCTCAAAAAAGACAAATTATGGAATTTTCTGCAACTGAATATTTCATTAATTTTGGTTGGTCTTCCTTGAGTTTGGCCTCATTGGCTCAGTGGGCATTATAACCTACAACTCTTGCACCAATTTTGAACATAACAATGAAGCTGAAAAAATGTAGTTGTTCACCAGCATCGCAATTCCATTACTTTTTATCATGGCTTTCCTTAGTGTGGTGCAAAGTGCTTCAGAAAGATGAGGAAATCTGTTTCTTGCACCCATCCTGATTTATTTCCACTACCAGTACTTCCTACTGGTCCATCTCTGACACAGTGGTCTGCATAATGTATGTGTGGGAACACAAACAGTGGAGGAATTGTGTTGCCAATGGCATTAACCGCATATACAAAAGCGACCAGTGAACCTCTCTTTGCTGATGTCTTTACCCCAACTTGTTTAATATAAGTTAAAGTAATAGTGTGGTAAGTTGTAACATCTGCATTATTGTTACAACTAACCCAGACTGTTGCTGTTACAACTGACCCAGACTATTATAGCCATGAACTAGCTAACATTACAGCCAACGGCTAAAACATTAGCACTAAAGACCTACACAGGATATATCCCCATAGGCATACAAATAACATAATTTAAGTTTGATGAGTTTAACTGCAAAGCAGATAATGCTATTAGAAATGGAAATAAAGTAGAAAAACTTACTTTTTGGCATACAAATTACTTTTTTTCGTGTTAAATTGTCTGTGTTTGACAAAATGTGCTGATTTTTCACATGTGATAGCAGAACTGAGTTGGGCATGCACAGAATGAGTCACATCATTTGAAACTTAGCCCTGACTGGAGAAATTGGAAGT